TATAACATTTTCCTATTAGACTGAATATTCATTTCAAAATTATTAGTTTGGTGCTAACCGTTCAAACTGGTAACTAATGTATCTCAAGTGATTTCCCAAACACTACTGTGCATGAATGGTGAAGTGATGGATGCTCATGTAATTCGTTTACAATTTACCATGATATATGCATAATGGAAAGACAGTTGACTTTTTCAATTGTTGCCTTCTGTGAGAAGGTCGAACTAAAAGTATGACACCGGTTTTTGTTAATAAAATTTCCTTAAACTTGCGTCCATCGGCAAGAAGCAAGCTGAGCATTTCAAATGGAGCTCCCGAAGGCGCTTTCGTAAGGCAAAAGTCCCATAATTTACGTGACGGCTTTTTACTCTTTGACGATCAAACGATGAGCCCGGAAATTTCCACGCTGTTCAATCTTGATGTCCGTTTACTAATATGCCTAGTCCCAAATTGTACAAAAATGCTGACCTAACGGTATAATTGGCAAAAGGATATTGTCGATCAAGATATATCTCTTCTCGCGCAGACATGTGCTATTTTACTTAATGTTAACCGAAAATGTGAAATATATTTTCGATTCGGGAATACTATTTTAGAAATGTTACAAAATTGACTTACAGCAAAACTGCAAAGTAATCCGGTCACGTCAGCGTGCCGGCTTTTGATCGAGCTTGCGTTTGGCCGTCGGCAAAAACTGCAATTTATAAAGACGACTACTTACAGTGAGTGACCTATCTCATGAAATGTTGGCTGAAATTCTGAAATGCGTTTTCGATTAGAAAGGATTACTTGGTCGCGGTTGTAATACTGATTATCTTAAGGCATAATCCTATAACATTTCGGACTTGGCAAGATGTCTGATTTTAAATGCACTTCTTTTTAATCTCCTGTAGGTTGCGTGCTCGGAAAAAATGACTACTTAATTAGCATGCACTTTTTCCAATTGATTTTCGGTGAACCTGGAAATTCAAATATATTTTTTAGAAACCATAAACAGAAATACGCTTTCTTTTAGTCGCTTAATAGAAAACCACGTCTTCTTTATAATTTATAGTTAAGGAAGGAGTATAATTAGGTTTTTAAAAAGTTTCTTATTATGAGACTTTTTAAGACCGCGAAATGTCCATTCACATAGCATCGTACCTGGCCGTTTACCACTGCTCCTTATGAAATGTACAACATGGTCCGCATTCATTGCACAATTTTATGGACTCTGTATGATATTTCTTTAATGGCATAGAAAAATATGTGATTTTCTTTACGCGGAACGCCTGCACCTTGTAAAGTGTAATCACTTAGTGATAATGCAACGAATAATCAGGCTCCAAATTATTCGGCAATTAGAAAACTTTTTTAAAACCTAATTATACTCCTTTCTTAAGTATAAAATATAAAGAAGACGTGATTTTCTATTAAGCGACTAAAAAGAAGCATATTTCTTTTTATGGTTTCTATAAAATATATTTGAATTTCCAAGGCCATCGAAAATCGATGGGAAAAATGCAAGTAACTTAAGTAGTCATTTTTTTGCCGAGCACGCTTTCTACAGGAGATTAAAAAGAAATGCATTTAAAAGCCGGCATCCTGCCAAGTCTGAAATGTTATAAAACTATGCCATACGATAATCAGTATTACAACCACGACCAAGTAATCCTTCCTAATCAAAAACGTATTTTAGAATTTCAGCCAACATTTAATGAGATAGGTCGCTCACTGTACATATTGTGAATTTTTCACAAAAAGATTTCCCCTTAGACTTATGTGGCAGCACATTGCGCATTCTTCAAAATTGCTTTTTGAAGAGAGATTATTCTTCGGTTTTTAAAAACGTTTTAACTTCCGAATAATTTATTGGACCCACGTGCTGCTATACTTTCATCCAGGGTTCCAAACATTTATTATAACAATATCATAATACGACATTTTACAACGGTCCAGTACTTTGCTGATCAGATTCTGGATGACGCTGTCTATCACCTTTACTCTTAACTATCTGCTCCAAAGTCTTCCCCTCACGCGGTGGGGCTCCCGACGTATTTTTGCCGTACATCGACATATCAGCATTCTGTATTGCCATTTCGGGTATGGCACCTTACGTGTAAAGAAAGTGAAATACAGAAACTGAGGCCTGAACTGTCCCTGTTAAGGGTATTCAGTCTTATACAAACTTTTTTACTTTTGCATCATTTATCAATGTATATCCTTGTCAAAATAAACGGAGTAATTTTGCTGAAAAGTTTGGTGGATACTTTTAAAATAAGCCATATTCCTCGATCCCTATTTTTCTCTGTATACAGTCCATCAAATGAACATGACACATTTCTCTAGGCCGTAAGAATGAGCTCACGTTGGACTAAAAATTTTGTGATAGACGTGGACCAGATTGTACGCTTTTTGAACCGCACCAATAAAGATGCTGATGCAATTTCCTATAAATAAACATCTATGAAATCTCAAACAGTAGGTGTGATGACTCAAGGAATGTTAATTGAAATTCTGAAACACGTTTTCTTTTTGAAAAGACCATTTAAGTAGGGTTTTAAAATTACTCATCGCGCAGCATAATTACATATTAATTCAATTACCTTAAAATGCCAGCTTCCGAAAGAACAGTTTTTCGGCTGCATGCAGAAACCGCATTCTGTGAAAAAAGACTACTTATGTAGCATGAACTTTTTCTCATTGATTGTCGATGATCTTAAAAGATCAATTATAATTCATGAAAAACATGCATAAAAAGATTCATGCTCTTAGTTTTTTCGTAGAAAATTGCGTTTTCTTCTAATTATGTACTTAAAGAAAAAGCAAAACTCGGTTTTTAAAAACCTACCAAATTTCCGAATACTTTTGAGCCTGACCTGCCGTTACACTTGCAATCGGGGTTTCTAAACTACAAAATGTGTACATTTTTCGTGTACGGAAAATCATACATTACGGTACGCTTTTAGGAGGAGACCATACGGGACTCATAAAATTTAGCAGTGGATTCGAGCCATATTTAAACCGTACGAGCAACTTTGGTAAAAACGGAGACATGAGAGGATTTTTCACGGTATAAGATTTTCCCGCAATAATCAACGTTGCTAAAACCAAATGTTGCCCTTTCTTTGAGTACAAAATTGGAAAAAGCGTAATGTTCTCCTAAAGGATTAAAAGAATGAATATTTTTACACATGTTTTCCATGACATATAACTTACTTTTTAAGGCATCGAAAATCACAGAGAAAAATCATGCTTCTTAAGTAGCCATTTTTCACAGTGGCTTTTTGCACGTGGCCGGAAAGGTGTTCACTCGAAAGTTAACATCGCGTAGAAACTGAATTATTAAAGAGTTATGCTGCAGGAAAGTTAACTTTACAACCGTTCCTAAGTAGTCTTTTTAAAATGAAAACGCATTTCCGAATTTCGGTTGACATTTCGTTAATAAGCACGCCTACTGTATTTAGAAACATTTTTAAAGCAAGACATCCTGTATTTAAGTACAGAATTTGGAGAAGATGCCGTTTTCTCGAAATGAATATAAGCAAAGAATATCTTACGCATATTTTCTATATGATACATTTGAATTTATAAGGGCATCAAAAATCAAGAGGAACCAATATTTGCCATTTAATTATGCATTGTTCGCAAACCGCATTTTTCACAAACTGCAGGAAAGTAATTTATTAGAAAGCCGGTATCTTGATGTGACTGAGATGCCTTAATAATGTGTTGAAAATTAATTATAATTATGACACTGCCTTAGTTATCCTTCCATTAAAAAAAACATATTTTATAATTTTGCTTAGATTTCATGAGATAGCATATCGACTGTATATTTGTGCTTAAATATTTGAGGTCCAGCTATTTTATCTCATTTAGTATTTATCTGAGAAGGCGCCGAATGTCCACACCCCAGTATGTCTATAAGGGTGCTTACAAGGACAGATTAAACTGGGTTGGTCATTTCTGACTTACAACCAGGTATCAGCCAGTCACAGTCAGCCGCAGGTTTGGATAAATTGGGATTCACTTCCAAAATTTTTGGCAATTGGATAATAAATCCAACGCTCATCCACTAAGCCACTGGAAAAAACGGGCATTTCAAGAAGTCTGATGTAGTTCTGGTTGTGATTTACTGCAACGAGGCGTACGTCAATAGGCCTATAGATTTGGATGTCATAAAAAAAATTTCCAGGAAAAATAAAAAGGAGCCTGTCAGTTTGTACTAGTAGATGGATGCAGTAGACGCATATGTACTCGGGCTTTGGCCGAATATTGATCCATCTGCTGGGCACCAGTAAAGAGTCGACAATTTCGCATGTCGACGGTACGTCTGATGAAGATTTGGAGAACCAGTCTCGAAAATTTAGGCATTACAATTGGATTTGTCCTCAAAAATGCTACCCTTTTTTACTTATAAATACACAAATAACTTGATAATTTACGACCGGACACAAACGTTTCGGTCCATACTCTAATTGCTTAACCATGCTAATCCACCCGTCGTCTTAGAGATGCCCAGAAACAATTGTCTTGTTCGTTTCCTACGGTACAGGCAGGCTGAACAAATTAGTTGAAAATTTCGGAGGAATCAGGCTCCTTTTCGCAGTTCCAAGTCTTTTATTAGCAATAATTAGCCGATATTCAATCTGATGCCATGCTTTGCATGCAAAAAACAAAATGTACAGTCAAAACGAAGCACAGTTGTGTTCGCAGGACGCGAAGTACTTTCAGCCGTATAGTATCGCTTGTTTACGCAGGTAGTTGGGAGGATGGGTGTGGAAATTGTTTACCGTATGACAAAGAAAGTTAAAACCTAATTTGCATAACTTCCTTCCCGTTGTCAAAACATTATCCTCTGTCTCCCATTAAACTTCGATAAATTTCGTTGTTCGGAATAATAATAAAGGACTATGTTATGTGAAGACTCGTATGCAATGAAATAAAGCTACCTTTTTTAATGCTGGAAACTCTTCAAACTTTTAGAAAACCAGTGCTGCGTCCATTATAAGCCATTTTCAAAAAGCCAGGCCAAAGAGCAAAAATAACCAGAAGAAAGAGGAAGGGGAGGGAAAAGTAAGAAGGAGGTGGAGGCAGCGCTGCTGCTGGTGGTGGTGGTAGTAGTAGTAGTAGTAGTCGTAGACGTAGTAGTAGTCGTAGTAGTAGTAGTAGTAGTAGTAGTAGTAGTAGTAGTAGTAGTTAGAGGGGAGGGGGAAGAGAGAACCGGCGGCGCCCGCAATAGCCACGCAAATTTCAGAAGTTTTGGGCATGGGGTTATTTTATGGAGGAGAAGTTTAGAGACTGAGTGGGATCTGTCAAGTCTTACTGGTCGACCATACAATCGGCATCACTGGAAGCGCCAAATTTTATTCTTAGGGCTACGTCAAGAGCAAGTATGGTTAAGAGATTCTTATAATAATCAAAGCAACTGCCAACCAATCAAAGACGATGAGAATATCAAGCAAAAGCCCCAACGAGTCTGGAGGAGGAGAAGAAGGATATCGGTAGAGGTCCTCCGCACACTTTGACAGCTACAATCGACGTTAAGAGGTGGAAGGCAGAAAGTCTCCGACAACCGATAACAGGGGAGGTATGAACTAGTGACTTTAGCAAGGAAACGCCGAAACTGCCCTTTGTCATCCTCTTCAGGGTAATCTAACAACAAAGAAACATGATATATGTTCGGTGGTGTCGAGCCTTGATTGATTGTATAGGTAAATGCAGACTGGAAAGGCAAGGATACATCCGTCGAACCGTGTCATTCTCTTGAACGCAGTCTATATCCATGGTAACTTGACATTTGGACCTACCAAACAGTAAGAGGGTTCTGGCGCTCAATTCTGTGGGATTACATACTCTCGTGTTCTACCTTTAAGTCTGCTCCTGACCCTCTTAGCCCTTAACTAAAGCTTTAGTCATATCCCTCCCAACATTAACAGTAACCACAATCTTAGCCTCTGTTAGAAGTTAGGGCAGAGCTTTATGTTATACCGTGATCGATATGCCCGTGCCCATGCGAAATATTCAGTCTCGAAGTGTTCAAAGGTACTGCGGAGACAAGAGGGTATACGCACAAAGTCGATGAGACCGAAACCGCTGGTGACAGTCGTCTTTTAAACGTCCACCGGAGAGATATCGACCTAGTTGATGGTCCGATCTATGACAATTTAGTTAACTGGAATCCTCCACCAGCGAAGTCTAGGGGGAAATTCAGAACAGGAGTGCGGTTCTGGGTGGCGGCAAGTTCTGCACATGCCGCAAGGTCTCGGCAGGTGATAGTGCTATCCCTGCGCAGGGATTCGAACGGAGACACAATGCTCACTTATCGTATGGGCTAAAAGTGGGCTCTGACAGCAATCATAAAAGGGAGGTGGGACAGCGCAGTCTGCAACAAGACTGGAACATTATGTAAGGAGGAAGTGTTCATTGCGACATTAGAACGGTTGTGGTTGGGATAGTTGGCAAGAAGCTGCTGGTTCAGAATACAAGAAGTGGTATGCTGTGCCATTTCAGAAATAGGAATGCTTCTTACTGGGCAAATAGTCATCGTGCTGTGTAGACCGAAATACCGGCAGTCAGCCAGGGGATCAATATGGACGAGATCTACGAAAGGCACTGAAATGGCGATGTTAGCTGTACGAAATACAGAATGAAAGTGGGATGTTCAAGGAAGGGAGAGAGGACAGAAGATTGTTATAAGATAGCAGCTAATGGTCTAAAGCAACAAGTGGAGATCGTGGCAACGACGATCGGCTGGCGTAGGAGAGGTGCACTGATCTTGGCGCCGGTGTCGACGAGGAAACGCCTATCATCCAGCTGTCGCAGTCGTTGAAAGGGGGCAACCGATAGTTGGGCTGCCAAAAAATAATCCGCGTTAGCCTTCGTGCCGGATCAAGGATCTGATTGGTCACCTATGGAGAAGCTAGAAGAGAAGAAGCTGGATTTATTGCTTTGACGAGCGTCAGACCCTTATTCGGTGTGATATCAGCAACTGTCATCTATGCTTGAAAAAATGAACGGGGCTCAAACTGCCGGGTAGAGAGAAAACCTGCTTCTTATCGAATGTAATTGGAATCATTATTTGTAGCATTAATTCCGGGAGAGTTCAGAGAGAAATTGGAAGCTTGAGGTTATAAGGACTGAATGGAGTCTCATCTCCGCATCAACAGTTAGACATTCTGAGGAAAATCACAGAGCCGAATCAAAACCAGTAATTAATTTGTATATGTGAAAATTTTTGTTGTATGATTGCCCATCGTAGTCGCCTGGCCACTTTGTTGATTGGAGAAAGTCTGGCATAGCGAATCCCACGAGATTTTCATGTGTTCTTCATCCAAAAATCAGGAAAGGATAATTGATGTCATAGAGTTTACTATGGTGGGGAGGGTACAAACAATAGAAGCGAAGAGACGAGTCCCAGGAACACGCGGCAGCGGTGCGCAGAAATGACGCCGGCTCTCAAGTTGCGGCTCATTCGATGAGATCCGGCCACACATTCAAATTCGATGAGGCCGATATTCTCGCAAGAGATGACAACCGAGTGAGCCGGGAGCTACTGGAATCATGGTTTACTGGCCCCTAGTCCATCAACAAGTGCAAGGAGCTTCCCACTCCATACTCCGTGCTAAAACTTCGCCTAGGCGGAGTCACAAACCATGCGGGCAGGGCAGAGGTGAACACTTTTCCCAACATCGGTGTCCGTGCGTCAGATGGTCGAGCAATCATCACGCCAACATCCAACGCACGTGATGAAATTGCAGCAATTATCGACTCGAATGTTGGCCATCAAGCAATGAGCACACCAAGTGCGACGATCCCGAATGAAGGGGGAGCCGTGAATGTTCATAGGTATGCGGTAGCATGGCTACTGCATCCTATAAATACCGCAGCCCCTTGTGCAACAACCACCCGTTTCTGCTTTTTTGTCTTTGATGATGGATTCGAGTAGGAATCCGAAACGTCAGGCTAATAAAGCTCTTGTCCCGGCGATCGTGTCTCCTTCTTCAAGGGTACGAACAGTTCACAGACCCGCCAGTCGATTTGGTCGTGATAGATTATGTCATGTACACGTGCAAATCGGACTGGCTTGACCTTGACGCGGGGGTCGATATGGCTCGACCAATCAGGTAGGTGACATCTACCTTTGCGAGTGACGTTGGGCCTTCAGCGAGTGAGTAACAAGCGCCCAAGACTATCGGTACGCACGAAATCGTATCCACCAATCAAAGGCCGGTATGAAGATGCTGCCTGGAGAGATGCTGACATAACTGCTTCATGCAATTTTCATGAGACTACCGTCTGGCGCATCCGTGGCGAACCGCCCAAAGGGCGCAAAACGCCTTTGTTCAACGTTCTATTGCTCATCCACCTTTCCATCGAGCGTCCTCAGACACACTGATCTCAGAGACAAACCCATTACCTTGATTAACTGCAACTCAGAGGCATAAAGGGTGGCAGGCGTCCCTATCTCACGGGCCGCAGGCCACGCGGTCAAGGACACAGGACCGCAGGACTCGGTCTCACAAACCCGTGTGCTGCTCAATCAGGCATGAACAGCGTTGACACAAGCCCCTTGCCCAACCAATAATGCCTGAAACGACAACTCGAAGTGTTCTACACAGAACAAGTCTTATTATGCTGCTTTCCATTTCAGCCTACTAATCGGGATACCGTTTGCGGTTTGCGGCGTTCAAGATACACCGACCGTCCTATTTGCTGCGCACATTTTCTGAAAAAATTTCATAATTCTTCACAGTTTTTATCGACTTCTTTGCTGCTGCCAACCTTAAGCAAATAACGTTAAACCTGCAGTCATCGTTGGATATCCGCAAAAAAGTCCTGCAAATTACAAAAATTCTTAGCCAAATTTCACACTGCCATGGCTGTACTCGGTCGTACTTTGGGCTCGTTCAAGTTGTGCGTATATTCTGGCAGTTCCACGTATGACCTTTTGCCCGCCTGTACTTTTAAACTTAACCAACTGTTGGGAATTATAATTTGGTACATAACCTTTCGCATAAAGTACTAAATAAGTGCTTGGTATTCTATGTTTAAGGTTACGTTGTTTCCATTGAACTGTCAAGATTTAAACTTAGCAACAGTGCTTATTCGCTTGAAACAACGATTTCCTACGCATGTGTAAAATACAGCCAAGCTAATTTTAGAATGCGGCAGTTTTTTCAAAAACAAGTAAAGACATGCGGGTGCTCAACTATCCTGGGGACAGCGAGCCAAATTGCCGAGTCATCATCGCGTCCACATCGGATGATGAAATAGCGGCAATTAACGACTCGGACGCGGACTGACGAGCCATCATTGCCTTATTTACGACCCCCAGCGGTGATTACGGGAGCTGGTAATTATAGTACGCATGTGGCCCCAAGGCAGTTACGTGCTGTAAATACCGCTGTCTTTGCGCCTCCACCACCTTTATCTGTAACCGCCTCTAAAGATGGGTTTGAGTGAAAATCCGAAACATCGGGCCAATAAACTTCTTGCTCCAGTGCCCCCCTGGAACTTGCCTGTTTGCTTTTATCAACATGCAGACTATACGACCAGACAGCTTATATTTTTACTGGCTGGTTTTTCGCCCCGGCCAATATGACAGATGGTAAGAACTATTCGATTTGTGCAATTCTAGCAGAAGTACGCAAAATCGTAGAACAGGCTCTATTTTTTCTCGTGTCCACTTTCATAATATTATCCTAAGGATTTTGTACGCAGATGCATGGGGCAGCAGGAATCAGGGGAATAGGAACCAGATGGTTCTTGTCAGACACGTAGACTAAGCACTTGAGAAATCTTCCTTGCATTACGAATGGGTCTGAACTGGTCGAAAGACACTTAAGGAAACATCAAAGTCGATTGGCGCATAAGCTTACGACCACTTTGCGCTCTCAAATGGTAAATCCTAAGGATAGGGTTAGTCAACTGAACAAGAAGGAGACCGTCTACAAGATCCTATTTGATGCATGTGCTGCTGTTTATTTTAGTCATACTGGAAAATCCGCCACAACATGCATCCATGAACACCAGTTGGCAGTAAAGAGGCGAGACCATCTGTCCCACGTTGATATGCCTACTCTGGACACGGGGCAAACCTTTGCTTGGGACAAGGTTCGCTATGTCGCTGTCTACCCGAGAATTCCTCGGAGCAATGCACTCGGATGAATCATGCATCAGTCAGCATTTCGAGTTGGGTGCCGTGTACAGAAACCTTAAGGAAAAATGAAAGAGAAAGAAACCCGTCAGCTTAGATTGACACACACAC